AAGACGGTCTTATGCCACCGTGACACAAGCTAGAGTCATCTGAAAGGAGGGAACCTTAATTGAGAAAATACCTCTATAAGATCCGGCTGTAGAACATTTTCTTAATTAGTGATCGATAGGAGAGGGCCCAGCCCATGGTGGGTGGTGCCATCCCTGGGCTGGTGGCCCTGGGTTCTATAAAAAAGCAGGCTGAGCAATCCAGGGGAAGCAAGCCAGTAAGCAGTACCCCTCCGTGGCCTCTGCGTCAGCTCCTGCCTCCAGATTCCTGCCCTGTTTGAGTTCCTGTCCTGATTTCCTTTGATGATGAATAGTGATACAGAAGTGTTAGCTGAATAAAAACCCTTTCCTCCCCAAGTTGCTTCTGGTCACAGTGTTTCACTGCAGCAATGGAAACCCTACGACAGACAGACAGACACCCTGTGACTCTAACACACTGTTGACGGTCTACCGTCCTGGCAGCCTGTGGCTGGATAGTTGGGATCCACACGGTGCCTGCTTCCTCGGATTGCATAACTAAGGTGCCGTCAACTGGGTGCCTTCAAAAATAAGGATTCCTCTCATAGTTATGAAAACCAGAAGTCAAAAAATTGAGGTGTTGGTGGGACCATGCTGCCTTTGAAATCCTCAGGGAAGCCTTGCTTGACTCATCCTAGCTCCTGGTGTCCTGCTGAAAGCCCTTGGCTCATGACTTGACCACCTCAACCTCAGTCATTCTTAGCGCATGGCCTTCCAGGGTGGAGCTGTTTCTCTAAGGACACCAGTTCGTATTGGATTGGGGCCCGCTAACTCCATTCTGGCTTCCTCTTAACTAATCATGTCTGCCAGGACTACAATTCCACCCAAGGGCAAATTCTGAGGTCCTAGGAGTTAGGGCTCATCGTGGCTCTTGTGGCGTGAACAGTTCAACTTTTCACAAGCATCTAACTTGAGCGTCATCCCGCTACACAGTGGTTCATCCACATACGCTAGAGTTACAGGTGCAGGTTACCTGGGCCTCTAAATGAGGATGATTTGGCCTAATATTAGAAAGGACAACTAGAAAACACTGGCTCTTCGTACCGCAGATCCCCCTCATACCCGCATCCCAAAAAAGGCCCATGGCTGACGTCTAAACCATCCAGGGCACAGCCTGGCAAGCATAATCCTGACTATTTTAAAATGATCAAATGTGAAGCTTGGTAATTTTTAAATTTTTAGGTAGCTTTTGCCAAATGCATGTGTGTGGTTTTTTGATCAGGAAGTTGTGGGTTTGTGCCTAATAAAAAAAACTTTCAACATTAAAAATTCAGAATTGGTGACCACCAGGAAATCTATATAGCCTGAGGTATGCAGAGTCACTCTGTCCCCTCTCTCTTACCCTGGAACACTTTGCCCAACTCTCAGGTCCGAGGCTAGAAATAGCCCGATCTTGAATCACCTTCAGGGTTCTCAGACCCCAGTGGGGCCCTCTGGGTCAGCTTTACCAGCCTTCACCTGAGACTCACACCCGCAGGGAAAGCAGCTTTCACGGGCCAACCAATGTCTGGTTTCTGTTTCCAGAGCTAACTGGTCACTGAGGACTGTCTTCTAGACCCCAGCCTTCTTCCTGGAGCCCTCCAATTCCCTCAAGCTGTGAGGGTGGCAGACTCTTCTGAGGGGCCAGGAGAGGAGAGCTGTGTGCCCAGAAAGTGCAGCTGGACTCTGTCCAGTTAGCCCCTCTGAGCTAGTGTCCTCGGTCGCCCCAGAGAAAGACAAGCTTTTCACATCAGAGGACCCAATGGCAAGTCCCGTGGAGGTTTCATGCGTTAGCGGCCAGTGTGCCCTTGAGTGAGATGTTTAAGATGCTCATTGCCCACATCCTCTCCAGGGCTGATCCACCGCTGAGGTACACACTCAGCTCCGTCGGGGGAGGGGCACAGCTGCTTGGGGCAAAGCAAGGGAACTGAAGTGAGGAGCAACCTCGAGGGCAACCTCAAAGGCCTCCGGCTGAGCTGGTCACCCCTGTTCCCTGGACTCCTCACCCAGGCTGTTGGGTTCTATGTCCAGGGAGCTGGGAAGGAGCCACCACGACAGAACCTACCCTCCAGACCTTTCTCTGATTAGCACTGAGGTAGAAAGCGTGACATGACTCACAAGATGAGGAAACTGGGGTTTAAATAAGTGAAACCCACCAGCTGGCGTGGGCGGGCGGCCCAGTGTACCAGCTCTTGGCACCTCTCCAAACTGACGCCCCTGTTCTAGGACCCTCTCTGAGGGATGGATATGCCCAGGGCCTAAGGAGGTGTCTTAGAATGTAGAAAGAATGAACAAGTCCGCTCAAAGGTCCCATTCGGTGGCAGCCACTGGCAAGGACCAGTCCTCACCCATGGGCGCTCCTCTTTGGATGGAGATAGGGTACACCCAAGGAACATCTAGAAGACCCTCAGAGGACCAGCGGACCTAAAAAGTCCTGTAGGACAGTCAGCAGGCCAAGATGCTGAGCACCCAAGAGCCATTGGGAGGGGGTGCTCTTACATGCACCAGAGACCAAAAGAGGGACAACGTGGCATCAGTCGGGTGCCACGCCTGTTCAGAGGAGACAAGGCTGGACTGCAAGAAGATGCCAAGTACGATGGTGTGCTGGACCACCACAGGAAGCTTCTCGCTTTCCTCCTGCCCAGCGTGTAGCCTCTTCTTCGGCTGGTGGGCAGGGTCAGTCAGCCACACTGGCGGTAGGAAGGACAAGAGTCAATGTATTAAGGGCCAGAGATGGAGCCAGAGCCAGCCAGCCACACTACCCTGAAATCGCCTTAACCAAAGGGGGAAAGGGCAAAGGTTAGTAGAGATGACCCTTTCAAATACTTACAAAAGAAAGAAGAAATGCAGCCTAGGGACGGGAGTGACATCAAGAAATACCATTCTGATGGGGGCAAGCTCAGGTCACGGGCAAACCCAACCACTAACCAGAAACACACATCTGAGAAGGGCTACTCAGTCTGTTCCACACAAGCTTCCGGTCCGGTTCTCCTCTGTAATAGCCTTGCTTCTGGGAAGCTATGTCTTTGCCTCCATGGTTCCTAACCACTGCTGGGCTCCTTCAGAGTCTGCACAGCCCTCCACAGACAGTGTCCGCCATGGCTCACAGCCTTTGGCCAAGGGTCCTCCATGCTGGGCAGCCCCCTCACCTATCTGGGCATGGGTGGCCTTGCCCCTCCAGATCACCACCCACCTTCCTCACCCACCAACCATCTGCTGCAGGTCTTCCCCTGCAGATCTGCTCTCTTAAACCCTCGACAGCTCCTTCAAACCAACAAACTCCATAGTCTGGCCTGGGTAGTCCCTCAGGTATATCTGTTTTCATATTTTTTCTCTCCCTCTATCCCTCCTTCCGCATGCCTTCATCAGTACCTAGCACCCTACGGTTTGGTTGTCTACAAGGGACTGACTAGTTCCAGCTACCTGCTTTCATTCCTTGACCTGGTACTCCTTCTCTGTCTGTCCCACATCCCTGGAAGATCACCTACTCTGAGATGCCCTCCTCGGACTCTGTCCTAGTTAATGCTGCCCGGTTCCCACCGGGTAGGAGCCTGAGAGGCACCTGGAAGCTGACCCTCCCTGTGACCAACTCCAGCATCTCCCCAACGGTACCACTCACCTGCAGCCAACACAAGTTCCCTAAAAGAGCAAGTGAACTTGAAGTCTCTTCGAAGCCTCACTGTCTCCTAGGGTCAACTCTGAGGTCCCACTGAGCCCGAGGTCACTCCCTGTGCCACTATGACAAGAAGGGATAGGTGGCATCCCGAAATCACTACAAAGGGCCTCTGGGGATTCCTCTTCATCTGTCTCATCACCAGCAGAGCGCCCCTCTCATCCCCACAGAGTACAGGCATCACCTCGGGGAACCAGAGCTTTTGCTTTTACGAAGCACTAAGTGTTTTCTCTGCTATAGATTCAGGCCGCCACTCGGCAAGCAGGGCAGGTGCTTCACACCGGACCCAATAAGGTTTGGAGCATGAAGCGTGCTCCAAGGTCACTGAGGGAGTTGGCAGCAAAGGCAGGTCAAGGCTGTGACCAGAGGTGGTCCCCAGCGGCCCCTCCTCCTCCCATGGTGACCTCTGCCTGGCCCGAAATGAATGAATTATCCGGATCACCCTCCCTTCTGCGAGCTGTCAAGGTGACTGGCCACTTCCTGGGTCCCGAGTCGGGGGCCGGGGGATGGAAGGCTGAGAGCTTACCCTCCAAGGCCGCCTTCCAGCTGGTGCTGCCCTCATAGCCTGACCCCGATCGCCGCAGCAGCCCCTCTGGGCCACGGGCCTCGGCCTCGGCTGGCGAGCGCGGCCTGGGTGC